ACAAATTAAAGCAACCCATTTCTGGGATCTGTTCACATCCCATATGTTCTTTTAACCATAGATAGTCTATAGTTGTAAGATTTTGGAGCGCTACAACTTGCACCCCTCCCAACTCCTGGTTGAGTTCCAACAGTACAGATACACTCAAATTCGTTGTCTGACTGTATGCACATGCCAGCCTAGACATCTCCCTCCTCATTCCAGTGGCAAGTCCAGGAAACGGTTGGATGGACGCAGCCACAACCGCAGCATCGCCCAGATCCCTGTGGAGGCTTTTTGATGATCATTCCCCGGCACGAGTCATCCAGAGAGTGGTGATGCCGGAAGCTCCTCCTCCTGTCGTATCTTAGTTCATTTTCTGGGTAGCCAAGCTAGGCCTTGATCTTCGATCATGTGGTTTTTGTCCTTCTTTATGTTGATGTGTTGGATGATGTTGATGAATTTTCGAATGTTGTACCATCCTTGCATCCCTGGGATGAATCCCACTTGGTCATGGTGTATGATCCTTTTGATGTATTTTTGAATTCGGTTTGCTAATATTTTGTTGAGTATTTTTGCATCTCCGTTCATCAGGGATATTGGTCTGTAGTTTTCTTTTTTGGTGGGTCTTTGCCTGCTTTTGATATTAGAGTAGTGCTGCCCTCATGTAATGAGTTTGGAAGTATTCCATCTTCTTCTACTCTTTGGAAAACTTTAAGGAGGATGGGTATGAGGTCTTCATTTAATGTTTGATAAAATTCAGTGGTGAAGCCATCTGGTACAGGAGTTTTGTTCTTAGGTAGGTTTCTGATTACCAGTTCAATTTCATTGCTGGTAATTGGTCTGTTCAGATTTTCTGTTTCTTTCTGTGTCAGCCTTGGAAGGTTGCATTTTTCTAGAAAGTTGTCCATTTCTTCTAGGTTATCCAGTTTGTTAGCATATCATTTTTCATAGTATTCTCTAATGATTCTTTGTATTTCTGTGGTGTCCGTAGTGAGTTTTCATTTCTCATTTCTGATTCTGTTTATGTGAATAGACTCTCTAATATTCTTGATAAGTCTGGCTAGGGGTTTATCTATTTTGTTTATTTTCTTAAAGAACCAGCTCTTTCTTTCATTGATTCTTTCTGTTGTTTTATTATTCTTCTCGCTTTTATTTGTTTGTGCTCTAATCTTTATTATGTCCTTCCTTCTACTGACTTTGGGCCTCCTTTGTTCTTCTTTTTCTAGTTTCGTTAATTGTGAGTTTAGACTGTTCACATGGGATTGTTCTTCTTTCCTGAGGTAGGCCTGTATTGCAATACACTTTCCTCTTAGCACGGGCTTTGCTGCATCCCACAGGTTTTGCGGTGTTGAATTATTTTTGTCATTTTTCTCCATATATTGCTTGATCTCTGTTTTTATTTGGTCATTGATCCATTGGTTATTTAGGAGCATGTTGTGAAGCCTCCATGTGTTTGTGGGATTTTTCATTTTCTTGTGTAATTTATTTCTAGTTTCATACCTTTGTGGTCTGAGAAACTGGTTGGTACAATTTCAGTCTTTTTGAATTAACCAAGGTTCTTTTTTGTGGGCTTGTATATAATCTATTCTTGAAAATCCTCCATGTGCACTTGAGAAGAATGTGTATTCTACAGCTTTTGAGTGTAGAGTTCTGTAGATGTCTATTAGGTCCATCTGTTCTAATGTGTTGTTCAGTGCCTCTGTCTCCTTCCTCATTTTCTGTCTGGTTGATCTGTCCTTCAGAGTTAGTGGAGTGTTGAAGTCTCCTAGAATGAATGCATTACATTCTATTTCCCCTTTAATTCTGTTAGTATTTGTTTCGCATATGTAAGTTCTTCTGTGTTGGGTGCACAGATATTTATAATGGTTATATCTTGTTGGATTGACCCTTTTATCATTATGTAATGTCCTTCTTTGTCTCTTGTGACTTTCTTTGTTTTGAAGTCTATTTTGTCTTATACAAGTACTGCAACTCTTGCTTTTTTCTCCCTATTAGTTGCATGAAATATCTTTTTCCATCCCTTCACTTTTAGTCTGTGTGTATCTTCGGTTTAAAGTGAGTCTCCTGTAGGCAGCATATAGATGGGTCTTGTTTTTTTATCCATTCAGTGACTATGTGTTTTGATTGGTGCATTCTGTCAGTTTACATTTAGGGTGATTATCGATAGGTATGTACTTATTGTCATTGCAGGCTTTAGATTCATGGTTACCAAAGGTTCAAAGTTAACTTCCTTACTAAGAGTCTTAGTTAACTCACTTAATATGCTATTACAAACACAATCTAAAGGTTCTTTATTTTTTTTTCTCCTTTTTCTTCCTCCTCCCTTCTTTATATATTACGTATCATATTCTGTAGTCTTTGTCTATCCCTTGATTGACTTTGGGCATAGTTAATTTAATTTTGCATTTGCTTAGTAATTCATTGTTCTACTTTCTTTACTGTGTTTTTATTACCTCTGGTGACAGCTGTTAAACTGTAAGAACACTTCCATCTATAGCAGTCCCTCCAAAATACACTGTAGAGATGGTTTTGGGAGGTAAATTCTCTCAGCTTTTGCTTATCTGAAAATTGTTTAATCCCTCCTTCTAATTTAAATGATAAACTTGCCAGATAAAGTTATCTTGATTCCGGGCCCTTGTGCTTCATTGCATTAAATACATTATTCCGCTCCCTTCTGGCCTGTAAGGTTTCTGCTGAGAACTCTGATGTTAGCCTGATGGGCTTTCCTTTGTATGTGATCTTATTTCTCTCTCTGGCTGCTTTTAATAGTCTGTCCTTACCCTTGATCTTTGCCATTTTAGTTACTATATGTCTTGGTGTTGTCTTCCGTGGGTCACTTGTGTTGGGAGATCTGTGCATCTCCATGGCCTGAGAGAATATCTCCTTCCCCAGATTGGGGAAGTTTTCTGCAATTACCTCCTCAAAGACACTTTCTGTCCCTTTTTCTCTCTCTTCTTCTTGTATCCCTATAATGTGAATATTGTTCCGTTTGGATTGGTCACAGAGTTCTCTCAATATTCTTTCATTCTTAAGAGATTGTTTTTTCTCTCTGTGCCTCAGCTTCTCTGTATTCCTCTTCTCTAGTTTCTATTTCATTTATCATCTCCATCATATCTCATCTGCTTTTACTTCCTTCTATTGTACTCTTCAATTATTGAATCTCTGACTGGAATTCATTCCTGTGTTCTTGAATGTCTTTCCTTACCTCCATTAGCATGTTGATGATTTTTCTTTTGAACTCCCTTTCAGGAAGATTCATGAGGTCAATGTCATTTACATCTTTCTCTGGAATTGTATTAATAATTTTGCTTTGAACAAGGTTCCTTTGGCTTTTCATATTTGTATATGGCGCCCTCTAGTGGCCAGAAGCTCTACTCTCTGGAGATGCCCAGCCCCTGAAGCACTCTCAGGGGTCACGGGGGTGTGGTATTGGTGTCTGGGGGGAGGAAAGAGCTGTTCCCTACTTCCCAGCTGCTATGCCTGTCTCCACTGCCTGAACCAGTGGACCAAGCACACAGGTGTAAGCCTCTATGCTTTGCATTTGTAGTTGCTGTAGACAGATTTTCCCTCTGGCTGTAGGTTGTGTATCACGGAGGGGGTCCTTGGAGCTGTGTAGCCAGCCAGGGAGCTGGAGCACCTGAAGATCGTGAAAGCTCCCGACCTGCTGGGCAGAGGGCACCCGGACAATTTTGTCTACCTGTCCTTTCTTCTGAGCAGTAAGTTCTGTGTAATCCTTGCACCCTAGCAGCCCTCTTGCTAAGGGCTTCCTTGTTAGGAAGTCTCTCAGATTGCCCACCTTTCTTTTGTCCCAGAGCAGCTGGATATGGATCCCTGCTTTCCACAAGTGGCTGGCATCTAGTCTCTCCCAGAATTCTGCCTGTCTTAGCTTTCCAACCCCCTAATCAGAGAGTACCACGCAAGCACCATGAAATGTAGGTTTGTGCTCCCAGAGCAGATCTTCAGAGTTAGGTGTTCAGCAGTCCCAGGGCTCCACTCACTGCCTGCTCCGTTTCTCTTCCTCCTGCCAGTGAGCTAGGGTGGGGGAGGGGCTCGGGTCCCACAGAGCCACAGCTGTGGTACATTACCCTGTTCTGTGAGGTCTGCTCTTTTCTCCAGGTGTATGCAGTCTGGCACAGTCCTCTTTCCTGTTGCTCTTTCTGGATTAGTTGTATTAATGATATTTTCTTACTATATGCAGTTTTAGGAGCATGCTTCTGTCTCACTTCTCATGCCGCCATCTTTAGTCATTTCTCCCAGGTATTTTAATTTTATAGCCTGTTTTTCTCTTACTATAGGCCATAGTTATGCTATAAGATCAAATATACATGTAGGTTGCATACCCACATATACATAAATTTCAAATAGCCTCATATTCTACCACATGACTGTGTACTGATTTATTGTAACTGTCTCTTGTTAGACATTTCTACTGTTTTCCAATGTTTTATGGTTTGTTTTTAGTAATGCTTTGAGAATCATCTCGGTTTTTAATTGTTAAAAATTACATTTATAAAAATAATATGTGTCTTGTGGAAAATGTACAAAATAGGAAAACAAGCCATCTATACCCCAAAATCTAGAGGTAGACACCATTAATATTTTAATATATTTCCTTTATTTAGATATATAAATTTTTAGCCTAATTTTTTGGTTTATTTTTAAAACAAATTAATGTGTTATAATGTCCTTTTTCCCTAATATTGGGAGTTTGATTATACATAATTATACATAGACTATTAAAAGAGCCACAGTTTAAAAATCTGTAGTAATATTAACCAAACTATTAATGATAATGTCGTGGGGTGGGGAATGGGGAATAAATTTTTCTTTAAAGACGTTTCCCCAAGGGGACAGAAGAAAAGGTTCAGAAACAAGGGCTGTGGACTTAACGTGGTAAGCATTCTTAGCCCATCCTGTGAGTTTAGGCCATGGTGCTGCCTTGCACATCTGTACCTTTAATCTGGGCTGTTTCTACTATGTTACAAAGCATTTGAGTGCTAGAGAAGATTCTCTTAGTGGTATTAGTAAGTTCCTGCTGACAGTTGCCAAGCAGAGATTGAAATGTGTGGATTTTATAGTCATTTTTTTAATCTGAATTGAATTGACAATTTTTTTTTCAACTAAAATATACTTTGGATTTTTAAAAATGCTGGATAAGGTCTTTATGTGCAACTTAGATCCTTCAACACTGATGGTGATAAAGGGATGTTTAAAGCACATGGTTTGAGTGAAGGCCTGTAACTTGAAGACTTCTGACCTCTGCACTGCAGAAATAATCATGCTGGGTGCCCCAGAGCCCAACACTATGTCCAGTCTACACCATCTTAGACTATTCTGTGCTTTCCCTTGTGCTCTCGCCTCCTTGTACCCCTGCATTGCCCAAGCCCTCGCATAGCCCAGTGTTGATACATTCCTTTGTGGCTGGAGGTCTCTGAGGGGCTCAAGCATCTCTGTTAAACCAATTTTAAATAACTGAGTAAGAAGGACAGGTCCAGATGACAGACTCAGGAACTTCCTTACCAGACCCCTCATCATAGCAGGAGTCACTTTGCCTAGGAAGCCTATGTAGCCCTTGCTGCCTCTCACCCCACAGGACCCCACTGCACTGTGCTGCCTCCTGTAACAATGTCCAGGTGTGTAAGTTTTTGGTGGAGTCCGGAGCCGCTGTGTTCGCCATGACCTACAGTGATATGCAGACGGCTGCAGACAAGTGTGAGGAGATGGAGGAGGGCTACACCCAGTGCTCTCAGTTTCTTTATGGTATGTAACAGATCTGAATGTGCTCGTTCATCCTGTGACTCTAGGGCATGATTCGGTAAGTATTTTTGTTATGTGAAAGAACATTTTCGTGTTGTACACAGTCCTGGGCATTGAACATAGGGCATCCTTGATCACAGACATCAATGCATCTTTTGTGTTGTGTCTAGAAACAGCTATTGTTGGGGACATCTTCAGCTACAGAGATTCAGGGTCTGATCCAGGGGCATGAATGGCTTTTGACCATCAAAAGATCCTCTGCTAAGACTTTCATACTTAGCCAGTGATGATGTATCTTTGCAGATAAGTAAATAGAACCCTCCAACTTCTGAGGTGATCTAAAGAAATGCAGTGTTGGTATAAGCATACGATTGATCCGAGTTTTCCTGCTAAATCAAACTGGTCACAAAGTGAAATAAAAGCAACATGTATTTTAGAGCTAATTTTTTGCCTCTTTTGTTTTCTTTCTTCCTTTTTTTAAAACAATTTTTTATTAAGGTATGATTGATATACACTCTTATGAAGGTTTCACATGAAAAAACAATGTGGTTACTACACTTACCCATATTATCAAGTCCCCACCCATACCCCAATGCAGTCACTGTCCATCAGTGCAGCAAGGTGCCAGAGATCCACTATGTCCCTTCTCTCTTTTGTTTTCTTGATTTTGAGTTTATGGTTCCAATGGATAACCATCAGCTCTGTTTCTAGAGAAGAATGTCCCTGAAGTTTTAGATAGGTATATGTTGGCTAGCATTTTTATTTACAAGGAAAATTTTTTAATGTAAAGTCTTAGAAGTTAAGGTTAATTTTTCTTTTTAATTTGGCTTGAGAAGAATTGAGGAAAGACGATAAATGAGGAGGCCCCAGGATTCCATAGCCACACATGCTCTCAGAAACTCCTTTGCCAGGTGGTGGGAAGACCATAAGCTGAACGCATGCCTCTCCTCTCCATCTGCTGTCCTACCTCACTAGGCCTGTCTTCAGGCTTGAGGTAGGGGGAGAGAGGGTCAGAGGACCATGAATCTCAAGTTCTCCTCTTCAGCTCTCTCAGCTGGGATTTTTTATTATTGATATTTATGATTACTTTTCATTTATGTTCTGAACTCTGGGTCAAAGAATAATTTTGATATGTTAACACTTTTAAACTTAATATATTAATTTATATTGTTTATTAAATGTATTAGTCATCTTAAGCTGTATTTAAGTATGGAATATAATTTTTAAAACATTTAGGGACATCTGATCAGATTTTAATTTATGAAATAATGTCATGGATACCAAGATTGTTTCTGATGCAGACATGTGCTTTAAATAAAAACACTAATAGATGGACAACAGCGAACACTGTGTGTCCTCCTCAGGAAACAGAACATGCCGCCCTCTCTGATGCCATCAGGTGCCCCCTGCATGTCTAGGGCCTGCTGCCTTGAACTGCGTGCTTCATGTTTACCAGTCCTTGCTTTTTTTTTTTTTTGGTATCATTAATCTACAATTACATGAGGAACATTATGTTTACTAGGCTCCCCTCTTCACCAAGTCCCCCCAACAAACCCCATTACAGTCACTTGTTCATCAGCTTAGTAAGATTCTGTAGAGTCACTACTTGTCTTCTCTGTGTTGCACAGCCCTCCCTGTGCCACCCCCCCCCACTATACATGTTAATCATAATGCCCCCTTTCTTTTTCCCCCGACTTATCCCTCCTTTCCCACCCATCCTCCCCAGTCCCTTTCCCTTTGGTAACTGTTAGTCCATTCTTGGGTTCTGTGATTCTGCTGCTGTTTTGGTCCTTCAGTTTTTTCTTTGTTCTTATACTCCACATATGAGTGGAATCATTTGGTACTTGTCTTTCTCTGCCTGGCTTATTTCACTGAGTATACTAACCTCTAGCTCCATCCATGTTGTTGCAAATGGTAGGATTTGTTTTCTTCTTATGGCTGGATAATATTCCATTGTGTATATGTACCACATCTTCTTTATCCATTCATCTACTGATGGACACTTAGGTTGCTTCCATTTCTTGGCTATTGTAAATAGTGCTGTGATAAACATAGGGGTGCATCTGTCTTTTTCAGACTGGGCTGCTGTATTCTTAGGGTAAATTCCTAGAAGTAGAATTCCTGGGTCAAATGGTATTTTTATTTTGAGCTTTTTGAGGATCCTCCATATTGCTTTCCACAATGGTTGAACTAGTTCACATTCCCACCAGCAGCGTAGGAGGGTTTCCCTTCTCCACAACCTCGCCAACTTTTATTTTTGTTTGTCTTTTGGATGGTGGCGATCCTTACTGGTGTGAGGTGATATCTCATTGTGGTTTTAATTTGCATTTCTGATGACTAGCGATGTGGAGCATCTTTTCATGTGTCTGTTGGCCATCTGAATTTCTTCGGAGAACTGTCTGTTCAGCTCCTCTCCCCATTTTTTAATTGGATTATTTGCTTTTTATTTATTGAGGTGCATGAGCTCTTTATATATTTGAATGTCAACCCTTTATCGGATCGGTCTACCAGTCCTTGCTTTTTAAAAAGTTATATCACCTATGTATTAATCCTTTAACCAATTTGTTTAGTTTTGTCTGTTTTCAACCTTTATATTAAAACAGATCATACTGGGGGTTCTGTGGCTCGTTGTCTTCTTTCACCACTATTCCTCAGATCCAGCATGGTGTTGCCTGCAGTTGCAGTCCCTTCCCATTGGGTCATCCTGTTCCATTTTGTGACTATCCTACAGTTACCTTTCTGTTGTACTTTGGGTGGACATTGGGTTGTTTATTCAATTGTAAACACTGCTTCTGTGACCATGTCTGTACTTCTCTTCTGCTGTCCGGCTAGAAGTGGATTGTAGGGTCCCAGTGACACACTTCTCACATGGAGTCTTTTTGTTGTGGGGTCTTTTTGACCTTTGGTGGGTTTGGAATGATGTCTCACTGTGGCTTTAGTTTGCATTTCTCATATCACTAGTGATATTGAACATGTTTTTAGGTCCTTCAGAAAAATTTTAACACAGTAATTTGTAACTCGTCATTTTGTAGATAGCAAAGTAATGTGAAATCTTCTCCCATTCCTTATGATTTCTAGGAAATTAGAGTCAAGTTGCTATTTTTCTATTGGAATATGACTTTCTAATTCTGATAAAACACCTTTTAATTAATATTTTACAGAAGCATTTAGGTTTACAAAGAGCAACCTCACTGGCTCTTTGAGAGTCACTATTTTCAGGATACTGGAGTACCCAGATTTTTCCTCTCTCCTCCCCCATTCCCATCCCAAACAGATGAGTCTGGCCAGCTTTAAAACTGTGGAATTATAATTATATCATGTTCTGTTGTCCTTGTGAAAGTTGTGGTCATGTTTTGCATGTCTTTAATAGGAAAGTTGGAAATTTACTTGTCTCCTTTGGTAGAAACCTGACCCTTTAGATTGGCAGAATCTTCTTTTGGAAAAGAACTGTTTCATTTCTTGTTTCTTTTTTGTCCATATATATATATGTACTGTGTGCTATGTTATATTAATTGATACAGGTAAGTTCATAATTAAGACCTTAGTATTCACATAAATTGAAAAAATGTGACTCTTCCATAGCAGGCATATATTTTCCCGGCTTTCCTAAAAACATAAAGATGGTAATAACAACTCTGAATTGTCAGGACCTTACTGCCTAATTCCTCTTCTCCACCACTTCCTCTTTGCCTGCCTGTTGCTGACTCTTGTCTTTATAAGCAGGGCACTAAGCATGGGAAGGTAGAAATGGAAAAAGGTAGAACTTAATTTGCAAATCTGTCATCAACTCTGGTGAAAAGTAGATGGAGGATTTTTCCCTCCCCAGTTTGTGGATTTCAGTATCTTAGAATTTATTTTAGAAAAATAATCTATTTGTAGACTTTTATATCATGTCTAAAATATTGAGCCATGCCTCTGCCTTCCCACATACTTTATACTTTTTTTCTTTTACCTTTCCCCATTTGGAATTGGTAGAGACAACTTTAATGAACACCACACTTTAGTCTTTTTCCTCCATCTACCCTAAGTTCTGGGTAAAGAGTGAAGTACTGTTTCCATGCTCCTTGGTCATCACACATAGTACTGACATGTGATAGGCCTGGCATTCACTCTAAATGTTTTAGAGTCTTAGATTTGAGCAGTCCTTCCTGAAAGGAAAGGAGCGACACACAGCAGCAATTCACCGGAGAATTCCATGAGGTGACTCTTTGTAGATGAAAACGTTCCCTTTTCCCCCTTCGTCCTTCCATTCCATTCTGTCTACCGAAATCCGTTCCGTCCGCTGAAAACTCCTAGTGCTAAGTACCTCGTGACTCCGGCACTCTGCCTTCTTAGGGAAGTCTGGGTGACGACCCACACTTCCTAAGAAACTCCGACTCGTATACGAGTTTCCGCAGACCACCAAGGATCATTGGGGACGCCCTTTGTCTCCTTGCGGTCTGCTCCCAGTCCGAGGATCTCCGTTCATCTTCTCTGTTTGTCTCCTCTGTCATTTAGCCATGGGAGCCTCCTCATCCCTCCCTGAAAGTTCACCTCTTGAATGCCTGCTTAAGCATCTGGCTACCCTCTCCCTGACGCCTTATATAAAACCAAAAATTCTCCGGTGAATTGCTGCTGTGTGTCGCTCCTTTCCTTTCACTTCCTTTACTCCTGGGCTTGCAAAACTTCTGGTATTCGTAGTAAGACCAGTTTAGGGAGCTGTTTGGACGCACATGTTAGTTATCAGAGCTGTTTTAGAGATGGTAGCTCCGGTAACTTGCCCTCTACGCTGCTGGGCTTACTTCCTCCCCTGTCCCTGAGAAATGTTATTTTTGGCTGTTCAGTGTAGGCTTTCTAACACGCCAGCATGACCCATTTCTTCTTTGCTCTTATATAGTTTAAGAGTGCTCTACTCTGTGTTATATATTCTTTGCTGTTCCTTACTGTCATGATTTTAGGAGTTCAGGAGAAAATGGGCATAATGAACAAAGGAGTCATCTATGCTCTTTGGGATTATGAACCTCAGAATGGTGATGAGCTGCCCATGAAAGAAGGAGACTGTATGACGATCATCCGCAGGGAAGACGAAGATGAAATCGAGTGGTGGTGGGCACGCCTTAATGAGAAGGAGGGATATGTTCCACGCAATTTACTGGGAGTAAGTTATCCCAACACATAAGGTTTTCCATGTGTGTCAGAGAGGCTTTCGCACCATTGTTTGTGATGGAGATGGCTCAGCTGGCTGCCTTCTGTTCATGTGACATGGAATTTGAAGTTTTTGATAGTCTTAGATTTAAACTTAGATCCATACTGCAGTGATTCCTATTATGATCAGTAGCACTTTGATGTGTGCCAGACCCCAGAGGTCTGGGGTCCTGCCTACATTTATAAAGATAACTGGAGAATGTGATGGCAGTTGAGCTTATGACACTGGGAATAAAATTTAAATTTGTTTGAATCAGAATTTACAAATCTGATAGGGCTTGAACAGGGCACTGAAGACAAGATCTTTCTCTAGTCTTTGATTTCATAAAAATCAAGTTTAAAGAAAATCAAGAAAATAACAAAGCATATACAGACCTATGTGCATGTGTCAGCACATACAGCTGACGCTTCTCTTGTGTGGAGAGGCTGCTCTCATCAGGGAGACTCAGCATTGTTTCCAGGGGAAAGGCTAGCGTGGCTGATGGAGGAAGGGAAGGAAGGAGGCTTTCCAGACTCTGTTCAGCTCTTCTTGGGGTCGGCTTTTCCGGTCTGCAGTAGCTGGTGCAGAGAGGCCTGGGGGCTGCATGCAGGGTAAGGAGGTTTCGGGGAATCTGAGCAGAGACAACTTCAAAGGGAGAAGCGGCTGCAAAGTCTGTGGTGGAGAGGAGGCAGGGGAGTGGCCTGGCTCCCAGAGCCCATACTTCTTCTCTGGGTCATGGGCTGTGGGGAGGGTGGGGAGGCTGCCTCCTAGGGTGGTGGAGGATGGAGCAGGTGTCTTGTTTATAGCTAATGGCAGAGATCTTTATTTTCTCCAACTGTTGGCAGACATGGCCTATGCGTGCACAGAGCTCCTCCTCTGACCCCTGGCCCAGCCAGGCTGCCCTGGTATCTCTTCTGGGGGAGTTTTTGACATGGCGATGCTGGCGTGGGGACCTAGCTGTCAGTTCTGACCAATGTCTCCTCCTGACTCTGCTTTCTCCATTTGTGTTTGTCTAACATGCAGTGTGAATGGCTTCATGCATCCTGTCTCCTGCCTTCTAACAGTGAAATTTACTATTACAAAGATTCAGGTTTAGACAGTATTCATTTGTGTGATCATTATGTAAATCACAAAGAATACATGAAAGTGAAAGAAAATGAGGCTGCAGAGCCATTGAGAAAAGCTTTTGAATTGGCAGATGAGAGGAGGCGCCTGGAGGTGCCTCCTTCCCAGTGCCCCCTGGGAAAGCTGGCAGCCCCAGGAGGTGTGGTTCTTCCCACAGCCACTTTCCTTCTCAAGGAAAATCAAAAGCAACTAAGCACTTTTACTCTTCAAAGATTTTTACTATGAAAAGCTCTGCCTCTTAGAAATAGGTGATTATTTGAGTTTTTATTTTGATTTCCTAACAAAGAGGTCCTGGGGTTAATGAAACATGGGAGGAATCATTTGTTCCCAACCATGGAAGCTGTTGGCTACTGACTCAGTTCTGTCTCAATTGTGCAGCTGAAACATTCTGAAATCAGCAGCTGGACTGAAGATTGCCATTTTTAATCTGACATTTAAATTTTCTTAGTCCCTTGGAAATCTTCTCTGGGCAGAAGTGGCCTGTACACAACTTTTGTTTGTTTGCTTCTTTTGAGGTTTAAATAAAAGGAAATGGCATAAATGTTGAGTTTTCAGTTAGAGGCTCAGATATGAGTCTAGAAAACTGTATTGGCTAAATATCTGTTCTCAGAAAAATAATCCTGTACATAACATTGATCCACCAGTTAGCTTGTCAGCTTTGGCTGGAGTCTGACTCTTCTGTCAATGAGGCTTTTCCTTTGTCCAGGGCAGGGGGACCAGGAGGAGGGGCTTTGTGTAGTTTGCCAGTTGAATTACAGGTTTGACCTGCTCTTGGCTTCAAGACTGGGGGTCTGACATCCACAAATGCTCTTCTGTAGCTCTTGTTATGGAAAACACAAAGCCACAAAGTCTAAAACAAAAGTCACCACTTGTCCTCCCTCAAATCCATGGACTTTTAGTCTGTGGCATTTCTTTACTGACAGTCTCAACTTCCATGGCACACTGTTATGTCCACCGTGAACAAAGTTAAAGGAACCTCTCATTTCCCTCAGAGAGGAAACTGAATGCTGGAGCGTAAAGGGTATCTATCACAAGTCACCTTTAGCAGTTGTGTTCCTTGCTGGACTTGAGGTATAGCTCAAAAAGCTGTGTAGTGTCGCTGCACTATGGCACTGCCCCATCCAGGGTCCCTGCACCATGGCACTGCCCCGTCCAGGGTTCCCTGTGGTCTTCAGTGTCCTGCAGAAGCATTGCTAAATGTGAAGCTTCGTGTACTTGGGCAGCTGTGAGTGCTTCACATGGAAGGCAGAGTCCTTTGCTTAGTTAAGTTTCTTTCCTGTGACAGCAAACCCCCAGTATTTCTTGAATTTTTGTTATCCTCCCACAGGTCTATATAGTATGTAAATATCTTAAAAATTCTCTTACAGCTATACCCAAGAATTAAGCCAAGACAAAGGAGTTTGGCCTGAAACTACAGAATTTTAGTTAATGAAGAATTTAATCTCTGTTATCACTAAGAAGTAATAAGATTATTTTTGGCAGAAATTTCACAAGACTTATTTTAATGACCATGTAACTTGAAAACAATGAAGAATATGCTCTGGAAGAGAATGAAGGATTGAAGAGTTCACAGCAGTGGAGGCATTGAGCCCAATGAAATGTTGCTGAGCAGGTGGCATTGGGGTAAAGGCGCCCAGGTACATGTGGAGGTGAACTTGTTTTCCACAGTAAATAGTACCATTTATTGGGCTACTGGGGAACAGCTCCCTGTCCTGCTTAGTTGGCATTTTTCACATTCTCCGTACCTGCCCTCCTACCAGAAAGGACCAGAGCCATCGTGGCACCATCTCTGATGGTTTCCCAGCACCAGCAGGCCCTCCAGTGACCCACGTGGAGGTCCAGAGGGCCACACACTTGTGTATTATCAGAGATGTTGGCTGTCTTGACTTTATGAGTTCTTGTAGCATCTTAAGAATTACATATATATTTAAAATACTGAAACCAAGCTACACTACAGGTAATTAGACTTAGAGTCTTGTTTTTAGGCTGAATTTGAATCTATATTTATTGTCTTTTGTATCTTGGAAATTACAGACTTGCTGTAGACTTACGTATAATACTTGTCAAGATCATAGCTGACTTTAAAAACAATTATAATAAAATTAAAAATTTTGATTCTAAACATTTTACTGGTTTTGGTTTTTGATTCATTAATAGCCTTGTAATATCTTACCCAGCCAAAAAATAATAAGACTTCTTTACCAGCTGTGTGATTAAAAGTAAAAAGTATTATCTTGCTTATAGAAAACTGTCAGTTTTGCAATTCATGAGTTTATCATGGTATTTAATATAGAATAAACTTTTTTATAGATGTTAGAGACTGTAGTTATAGAAGATAGAAGATCGTTTACCTTTAACTAAAAGTAATAGTGTAATGGACTCTTTGTGTCCTCATTTTATCTCACGTTCTGCAGTTATGTACATTGATTTATGGTGTTGAAAATTAATAGAGTCCCCCACATGGTTTTATTAATATGTCCCCACGTCCATGAATTGTTTTGGAACCTATTTTCCTCAGTGGAACTGTCTTATTAGAAGATATAAATGAAAAATCTGCAGTAGCTTTTCCTTATACATTTTTATGAGTAGCTATATTTTAGCAAGAAAAGTAGATAAAAGAATATACCAGGCCTTTGACAGTAATGGAGAAATAGTGACAACATGAACTAAATATCGAATGTGTGTGGTAGAATTCTTAAGATGCCGGTTCCCCACATTCCTGTCCCTTGGTGCTGTGGGCTGAATGTTTGAGTAGCCCTAAAATTTACATATTGAAGCCTGTACCCCAGTATGTTGGTATTGGAGGTTGGGCCTCTGGTAGGTAATTTGGGTTACATGAGGTCTGAGGGTGGTCCTTACAGGAAGAGGAAGGGGCCAGACCTCTCTCTGCCACATGAGGACACAGCCGAAAATGAAAGTTCCTGTGGCCAGGATTCTCAGCTGGACCTGGTTGGCTAGCTTATACATGAGTGGGCAATACATTGCTATTAACTACATATATACAAAGAGCTCCACCCAGTGCTCTGGGTGACATGGTGGCACGGCTGCAAGGCTGCAGGAGGGCAGAGCAGAGGCTGGAGTGGTGGCAGCGCCAAGAACAGAGGCCCAGAGGCAGAGACCAGCTTGCTGCATGCAGAGTTGCTCTGAGTAAACGGGATTTTAGTGATTGACCTGCCACCATGGAAATAAAGTTGGGTATAACCCTTTCACCCCAAGAACGCTTTATTCTATTTCTTTGGTCACACTGAATCCATAGTGAACTTGTCCAGGGCTGAAACCCATTGGCAAGACACCGGCTCTTCCGAGCACCAAGTGTGCCAGCCCCTTGATCTCAGATGTCCAGCCTCCAGGACTGTGGGAAGTTAGGGTCTGCTGTTTAAGCCCCCAGTCTGTGGTGTTTCATTGCAGCCACCTGAGCAGATTAGGATACCTGGTTATTCAAACACTAATAAAGGTACTGCTGTGAGGGACTTTTCAGATTTAACTAAATGCACACATTAACTGACCTTAAACTGGGAAGCTTTCTCGGATGGTCCAGGTGGGCTGAGTGCGGTCACATGAGCTCTTACGAGCAGGTCGGTCAGTGAGATGTGGTGTGAGGACTCAGCCTGCTGCAGCTGGCTTTGGAGAAGCCAGCATTCCTTTGCCCAGCAAGGAAACGGGATTGGGTCCTGCCGGCCTGAGTGGCCCAGACATGTCAAGTCTGTAGTAAGGATGAGGTGGGAACTGGGTTTCTAACCTACAGAACCGGGACTGGGCTGCATGCATGAAGAGCCACAGCCCTGTAAGACAAGTAGAGTGGTTCCGTCCTGTCCACCTGGGACCCTGCCAAGATACCTGCCTGCTGGCCTTGTTTACCTAATCTGAACTGGGGGTGGCACTATCCCCTCCACAGTTCTGCTGGCTGGGGAAATGCAGCCCAAGTACCATGGGTGAAGGCGCCAATGGTGTGAGGAACAGTGGACATGGGTGGAGCCTGGGAGGACATGGGCACCCCCGTTTCCTTAGTCCTTAACTGGGAACATCATTTGCTCTTCCTCTTCCTCTTTGGTTTTTTACTTGTTAATGTATTTTATCATCAGCACATCCTTGTATCAAATCTCCTTACAGATTTAACAGTGCAGGAAAGGGGTGAGTTGGGAGGAAAGACTGCTGTAGAGGCGGCCACTGCTGCCGACTCTGGTCTGTCTACATGTAGCTGACCACATCCTCTTCAGGTTGCCGTCTGTGGGTCTCCAGTTTTATGGTTGACCTGCACCACAGACATGCTTAGGGGCTGCACCGTGTCTGCTGCATGCAGTATCCAGACTGTCTTGTGTTGAGCATATGCCTGCTTGAGCCAGGCAGCTTTCTCCAGGGTTACAAAGTAGGGATTTACTGTCTCACCCATTTTTTTCCTGTAAGATGTGGGAGCTCAGGGTACTTAGTCTCTTCTTTTTCCATTTTTTTCTACATTACATGAGAAGCATATGCCTTGCTTTTTTTCCCATTATTTCTTTGTATCACTAGAACAGATTCTAAGTGGAGTGGTAAACAGGTCAGCTTGAAGAGGCCTGCTCCTGCCCGTCTGCAGTTAGCCAATAAGGGCCTTAGCATATCCCCCTGCCTTCACTGCTGCCCTTCTAGCCAGGACCTTGTTGCCCCATTTCAGCCACTAAGTCACCACCCCCAGCCTTTGTCCACTGGCCACTGTCACCTGCTGCCTCTACCCCTTACCCCTGTGCTGAATAGAGAGAAGTCCCAAACTGGAGGGGTCACCGTGTGTTCATAGTCTCCAGCCTCTTCTGGGCCCCCAAATGCCACCTGGCAACAGGAAGAACTTGAATTTGCTTGACTGGCATGGGGAAATCCATCTTCTATCATTTCCTGGTTGGCATTTACCTATTTGTGCCACCTTCCATCTCTGCCATTTGTTGTGACTCAAGGACCACCACCAGCACACCAGTGGTTTCTCACCATGTGTTCTTGGCTCCTTTCTTGGTCCCACACCAGGTGAGGTCTGGCAGCAGGTGATCTGCAGGGCCGGCTCCGCAGAGCCAGGGGAGCAGTGCGCCTGCTCTATGGCCCATGGAGAAAGCCTCAGGACGGGGGTTTCTCAAAGTGTTACAGGTCCACACTGAAATGAAGGTCAACTGTCTTTGCCCCCCAGTGCGGGCAGTCAGAAGCTGTGCATCTTGCCAGAGTGGGAACAGGCTGTCTGGGGTGTGCCTCTAACCCATGTGGGCCCCCAGAAAGGACAGCAGGGTGTACGATTGCCTGGGTAACTTTATTTAACAGCACATCTGGAAGAATATAAGGCAATAAGGCAATGTGTCTACGATGTTGCTGGCATTCTCCCAAAGTAAGGGGAATGGGAACCGGGTGCTCCCTTGTAAGGCCCCCAGCTGCATGCACAAATGCCAGAGGCTGCAGAGCCAGGAGGTTCCTAGGCAGGCGGCCAGAAGTGGGGCTTGTCTGTTACTGCAATTGGCTTGCAAACTAGATGCCTGGTCTCGAAGCCCTGCTGCAGCCAGGGAGCAAAGTCCAGCAGCATTTATAACTGTTTCAGACCAGACGTGCCGAAGGACACAGAGAGATAGGCGAACCAGCCTTAGCTGGAGTTGTCTCCTGTTCACCCAAATGGGCCGGGTGTGCTTCCTCACCTGGCCTCCTCCTGCCTTGATGTTACCTGGTGGTGCATCGTATTTTCCACTGCTCAAGGGATACGGTAATCCCTGGCTGGTTGTTTGGTAAATGCCACAGATGTGACTTTGAACTTTAAGTTGCTTTAAATACTTCCAGCAAGGAGTTTGGTCTAATGTTTGCTCAGCTGTTAAACAACTCCCTGTATCTTTTTCTGACTTAATATTGCTATAAACAGTAAGTGTGTAAAAGTTAAAAGTGCATACATTATTTATAGATTTAAGGCTTTAAGTTTATCAAGGATTAAGTGGCTCACCTGCGTTTTAGTAAAATAATATGCAAATCTTTTGCTCTGCTATCTAAAGTTTTGCTATTTCAAATAATATTATTTTCAGCTATAGTTGTTATCACTTTAAGCAAATGTTCCCATACTTTCAAGGTCTGGATAAAAAGTTTCTCTGTGAAAGCCTAGTTCTTGGCTGACTGTCATGTGAAGTCTTCAGGAAGACGAGTCACAACTTCAAAGTACTGAAAAACAGAGCCACTGTGAGGAAGAAAAAGCAGTTTAGTGACCATTTTTAAAATTAAAGGCTACTTTAAGTACTGTAGATTATTCTGAAAGATTATTATACCAGAGAAGCTGGCCATGGGTTGAAATATCAGTCATTAGCTCCCGTGTTTCCTGCTGGATTCTAAAGTCTAGCCTTTTATAGGTCAGTTATCCATGTGTTATTTGAATCACAGTCATGCCTTGTATCACAGAGCTGATTTAAATGCATGGCACGCGAAATTCAGACAACATGAATTAGCCTCATCTTCGCCTCAGAGTATCCCATCAGACATTAGTTTGGCGTGTGGATATCTGTTAAACTAGTAGTTTTCAACCTTAGTTCTGTACTGGAGTGCTCTGGGCACTTTAAGTCAGATTCTGGTTGACCTGGTCTGGGATGGCCTGGACATCTGGACTTCTGCAAAGCTCCCCAAGGGACGTCACTTGCAGCCGAGGCTGAAACCGTGCAACTAGAGGGGAGGTTTCCTTGCTGCTGCTCACCCTTAGCAAGACTGGGGGCTTCCAGGCAGCTTACACAGGAGAAAAGCCAGTGGGTAAGGGGTTTCTCAGAGGGGAGGGGGACAGTAGGCTCTGGCCAGCACATACCACAGGGGTTGGGGAGGAACAGGAGTCCCAGCAAAAATAATAAAGGTTAACAAGTGTGTTTGTCGCAGTGGCATCAACTCTACTTCAGAATACACTCTCAGGGCAGGACTGTGTCCTAGGGTACAGACAGTTTCAAGCAAGTTAGCACTACCTGTAGCCAGCTAAAATGTATTTTCAGTAATGGAATTGCAAGATTGCACAGTGAAACAGCTATTCAGTTGCTGGCTTCTTCCAGAACTCAAAGTTCAAGGGAAAGAGTGGCTAGTGCCTTACATGTGTCCTTCTCGCCACTTGGCTCCTCTGTGGCACGGGATCTGTCGTTCCCGTTCAGCACTGGCCACCTGACCCAGCCCTTTGTAGCCTGTGCTGCTCCAAGTTCAGTTCCCTCGAGGACAGTGGAAATGTGGACAGAGCAAATGATAATGAAATACCAGGGCTGGCTTCTTTCTTTGAAGTGAGAGAGCTTTCTGTTATTGGGATGACAAGAGAACATTCTGGGCTTTGCTTTTGTGGAATTGGCACTCCAATTTAATTCAGAGGTGGGCGCTGCTGAGGTTCGAGACACATGAGTGGCAATTTTATGTGGCAAGCTTATTTACCATTGGTAGTTCTATTTTTAAAAGGAGTTAGTAGAGATAATTAATTTGCTCAGGAAGCATTTTGGGTAGATCACTTCTATGAATGACAGATCCTCCCCAAGCCCACTTGAATTTGATCCACAGGGTTTTGTTATGTAAGAGCCTATCCCATGCAAGCTAATGAGCTCATTTTTCTAGAGGGATCCTGCAGCAGCAGCCTTGTTCTTTTAACCTTGAGCTATACTCAAGGCAAAACTCATGGAAGGAGGGATCAGGTGTGGTTTTTTGGACTTGAGAATAACAGGTAGTTGGGAAATGACTGAAGTAAGAGTGCATTGTGGGGTCCTGTACCCATTTACGACCAAAAGATTTTTAAAGCAAAGCTTTCAATTAAGCACAAGTCAGTAAGCCACAGGTCAGCCAAGTCACAGCCCTGCCCTGTCCCGTTAAGCTGTCGACTTACCGAGATGAGGTCCAGCTCTATAGTTCCAGTGTTCTCGGGGTCCAGCTGCTTAAATATCCCTGGGGAGGAGGAAAGAGAGCACGTCATCTTCTTCCCCAATTTGGCAGCTGATTTCACTGAACGTCACAAGCTATTATTCTTTCCCTAAATTAAAGGATTTTAAATTCTCAACCAGACGTATCTCTGCTTCACCTGTGGTGAAAGGCAGGTTGCTTTGATGGAATTGGATCTTCCCCCAAATAGCCACTTACTGAATAGTGTTTCCAGTCGAACCAAACACCGAACAAAATTATCAAAGTCGATGATGAGCTGGTCATCTGCAAACCGGGCAACAATGATTTGGTGGAGCTGACAGGGCAGCTTGAACCCTGAAGGTAAATGAACAGGCAGACAGATTGCTAAGTATTACTGCCCACGGGCAACGGAATCGGTGTGGCAGGGAAATTACTATTACTATTGCTTTTGTCACTTGACTGCTCTTCTCTGAGCTGGGTTTTATTTTCAAAGCCAGTGCCTCCTGCATTGCTTTGCAAACTGTTCACTGGCACCCTGCCTGTTCCCTTACTGACTAACATGTAAGCTTCCTCACCTTGCTCTCCACCTGGCATCAGGCTGCTTCATCTTGTTAGCCACACATCTTATTTGTTTACCTCCGAATCACTTTGGAGACTAGATTGTTCTGGCTGTGTATAGCAGAAACTGTTCATTGTAAACTAATATTACTTCTCCCGTTTTAATGGGTCATGGCTGCCCAGAGTGAGACTGCATCTCCCAGCCCCCCTCGCAGCCATCTGGGGCCTTTTGACTAAGTTCTGGCAGCAGGATGTGTGTGCAGAGGGACGTGTGCACAGAGGGACATGGACCCGTATAGGCAAGGGGCCTGTCTTTGCACCCTTCTGTCAACACGTGCCAGAATGTGGTTGTGGGCAAGCCATCCTAGGTCCCCACAGATATAGGAACATGCTAAGGGCTGGTAGAATAGGATAGGAGCCAGATCCCTGACAGCTGGAGACACACGGTCCCAGCCTTGGTCAGCCTGAGCTTGTATTGTTTTGTGAGAGGAAGAGGTATCTTGTTTAAACCAGTTATTTGGGTCTCTGCTGAGGCATTATATCCCAACCGACAATTACTCATGTTGTCATATTTGCCCCCAAAACACACCATCTCCCACTTGCTGGTCTCCCAAAAGCCTGTGTCCCTTCTAGTGATAGCACATTCCTCTAGGGACTTATCCATAACTGGAGCTGAGATACCCCATTTCTGTCTAACATCCCACACCTGGAAGGGGCAACTCAGGACAAATGCACTGAGACTGGCTTTACTTGCTTGACCTGCCAGGCTGCTCAGAAGGAAACTTAAATTCAAGAAGGCTCGGAGGGCAGAGCATCCTGGACTGCACTTTATTTTACCCATGAGTCTTTGAAAGGGGAATAGAAAGGACATGTTTGTAAGGAACCAGCACCTGTATTCTTAACTTACAAACCCTGCATTGTGTTGTGTAGAGAAGAGTTCAAATATTCACAGATAAAACAAAAACATTTATTAAGTGTTACCTGCTTCTTCTAATGCTTTCCGCATCTCATAGGAGTTCATGGTACCAGACCTGTCCACGTCGATTTCCCGGTAAATTTTCTGAAACACACAACACAATTAGTAGCAGCGTGACCCAAAGCAAGGCAGGCGGCAGGCTGCGTAGGGTGGGGTCTGCCAGGCTCCACGCCTCTAGTTTGACCTTGGAAGGATCGCCATGTTCCTGCCTTAAACAGCTAGATTGCAAAGAGGCCCATTGGATCAACTAGACAACTGTCATGGGCCCATGTTATTTAATTTTTGTACTTGAGCTGTAAAACTACGAACAACAGGAAGGTACATCTCCCATCCGAACACTTTTGAGGGTGGTTGTTGATGGCCCCATTTCTGGTCAATAATCAGGTGAAGGCAGAGAGGAGACCCCTAGCATGCAAATCTTCATTTTTTTCCTGTTTGCAGCTATTTGCCCAGGCCTGATTTCACCCATTCTGAGCTCACTGTGGGTGAGGTCCTCAGCCCACCCCGGACCTGCGTGCTCACCCCGGACCTGCGCGCCCGCCCCAGACCCGCGCACCCGCCAGGCTCACTTGATACTTCTGAATCTTCATCCACAGAATGTGGAACTCCCTCAGCCCCAGCTTACCGCTCCCATCTGACTGCCTGCCGTTAAGGAAGCTGCAGGGTGTGGGTTCAGGTAGGCAAGTGTCCCCTGGGGTCCTCTCCACTGATTTGGTGGCAAACACACCGTATTTACCAGGAGCCTCCAGGGCACCTTCCCTGCCCTTCATGTCAGCCAGGTCTGCAGTGAGGGTGGAAGAAGGGCCATGAAGCCCCTGGCTCCACTGACTGCCCATAGATTGGTCTGGTGCAGTGGGGACCCTGGGTCCTACCAAAAACAGCTGCCAGGTGAAGGGCTCAGACTTCGGGTTGCTCCAGTGCTGGGATCCTTGCTGATTGGGTGCTACCAGGAGTATTTCTAAGGGACTTTGTGGGGCAGCTGCACAGCAGGAGCCGTAAGCCCAACCAGCGTGTGCAAGCACCAGGTACAAGGGGCAAATGATTACCAGTCTGCCTCGGGGGCAGCAGTGGCCTAGGAAGAGCTGGTGCACACAGAAAAAATGCTCATGGAGCTGGGCTCTGCATCTCCAAGTCAAGAAGAAAATCAAACCAGAGAAAGCTGGTTCATCAGAAATACCGTAGTTTAGGGAATACCTTCCTAGAGGAAGTGTTTCCCAGAAGTACCACCACTCAGGAGCCAATCCGGGCTGCTCTTGAGCTGGGGGATCCTGGGGGGTGGGGTGGCTTGCCTGCCCTCTGCAGGTCCTCACGTCCCCGATGAGGGAGGCCCGCAGGACAGCAGTCCACCTCAGCCCCTGGACCACGGCCTCTCCGAAGGGAGCAGTGTGAGTGTCTGGAGTGGGAGGCCCCCCTTCAGCCCTGCTCTCTGAGCGAGTTAAAAGGATACATCCAGCATGTCAACCATGATTTTGCAGGTCTCAATGCTGAAGCCATCTGACTTGATATCTTGGCCTAGATGACAAAACAAGCGTGATGGGAAACTTCTGGAGCAGCCCTGCCCAGCAGAATTTGCACAGCGGAAGCGTCCTGTCTGCACCCTCCAACACAGCAGCCGCCTGTCACTTCAGACGGCCAGGAGGCTGGTGGCCACTACACTGGGCCGGTAGGGAGTGTGTTACATGCACCCGCTTCCTGCTTGCTGGCCGAGGGTGACAGCGGTTCAGTAAGTGCCTTTAAATAAGTAAACAGAAGAACGGGGAATGATGGCCAGTAAGTGCTCACAGGGCACCTGTGGGCATCAGGCAGGGAAAGGAAACCAGGGCACATGGTGCTCCCAGTCTGGGACCCTCAAGAGGAAGAGGCCTGTGACTGTCCGCCTGTAGGCCCTTTGTCCCGAGGGGGCTGAGAGACCCCAGGACCCGGAAGCTTGCAGAGCCATGGTGCTCCACCAGGTGAGTCCTGGCTGGCTGGGGATATGAGCTCTTTGTCATGAAAGTGAATCTGGTTCCTCTGGCTCCACGAGGAGCCCACCCTTTCTGTCCTAGTTTTGTGGAAGCTGCATTCCACCATCTCAGAGCTGCTGGTCTGGGCCTGGCCCCTCTCAGGAATGGGCACGCAGCTACATGGGCCTTGGGCAAAAGGCTGGGGCACCAGGCAGCTGGGGGGAGGGTTCCCTTCTCAGAGGCATGGGTGAGGCGAGCCACTCTCCCAGAGGACCCTCCCACCTCTCATCTGTGGACAAACAATGAGGCTTTGATGGTACATCTGAGGACCCTGTGACTTCATTGGTGCCTGGCAGCTTCGGTGGGGACACCATCCTGTCCTCCTCAAACTGCGGAGGGAGGCAGCCATGGCCTGGCTGTACCTGGCCCTCCCATCCTGAGGGAGCTCCCATCAGGGGCTCTCATACAGCCATTTGTCTGGCAGCCACGGGATAGGATCTGGGGTTCCCGTGAGGTGGTGCCCTTCATGCTGGGGTGGAAGGCCAGCTGGCCGTGGGCTCCAGAGGAATTTACTTTTCTCTCAGGGGGATAGGCCAGGGCCGCCTCTGGGCTCCATGGCCCCATGCCAGGACATGACAACAGGGGTCCATTTCTGATCCAGGCATGTAACTTCTGATGCTGTGGCCCCTGCTCCATGGGCCACTCTGACCACAGGCAGCATGGCTCTGAGGACAATTTGAGGGGGAAATGTGTGTGTCCCTCCTCCATGGGACATCAGCGGGCAGGACACTCCTGGATGCTTTTTGCTTTAGAAAGAGCTCCCAGCTACAGGCAGTGGGTGACCTAACTGGGGAAACACGCAGGAGCTGCCTACACCAGGCCTGTGCTCCAGCACCTCTGGCTGTTAGGAGACTGGTGAGAGGAGCTGAGTCAGGCCCAGGCACTGTTCCTCCCTCTCAGTCCCTCCCGTTCACTCCTTGTGGAGCCCCACAGCCTGGGGGAGAGCAGCCACTTGCCTAGCCTGTTGTTCAAGAGAAGTGACATGGCTCCGAGTAGAACTGTGGTCACATGAGGCTCATTCAAACATGTCTGGGTGACAAGACTTTGCTTGCCACCCCCTAGAGTGAGCAAGTGTTCGGGGAACTGGGGAGATGACAACCCCATGAAACGCAGCCAGGAGTATAGGGACTCAAGTACTTTTGGGCCCTTGTGTCTGGGCCTGACTCAGCTCCTCTCACCAGTCTCCTAAGAGCCAGAGGTGCTGGAGCACAGGCCTGGTGTAGGCAGCTCCTGCATGTTTCCCCAGTTAGGTCAGCCACTTGAAAGGTGAGCATCATGTGCCCACTTTGCAGATAAGGAAGCAGGAGTCAGAGGCCATGGGCCTAGGTTTAGACCGCAGAGCCAATAGGGGGGTGGAAACTGGATGTGACTAACCCTGGAAACTTTTTTTTTAAGTAAGTCACGCAGACCCCTCCTTCCAGTTCCCTGGCTGGGGAACTTCTGTGGAGCAGGCGGGGCTGGCTCAACCATGGCAGCCACCACAGGGGAGCGCTGGGGTTCCCACACCCCTGGAG